AGTTGATTTAGCCTATTTTTATAGGGGAAAGGAGACATTTGTTTTTACGTGGCTGATAGGATTTCTCTTTCATGCCACAGATACAGGCCTAAATACAGGATTATACATATATTTTATTCATGAATGATATAGTAGCTACATAGTGCTCAATGTGAACTAGATGCTCTAGAGCAGTAGTCTCCAAACTTTTTTCATCACGCACCCCTATGAGTAAAAAATTTTTTAGTATGTACTCCAATATATGGATATTTACTTATAAATTATATACATGTACTACCATACCAATGTTATGTACATAATAAAATATATACAAAATAGAAATTTTAAAAGGATGACATAAAGACAAAATAAACACTATATTTAAATTTTATTTTTTAATGGTAAAAAATTACTTTCTTGCTGCACCCCACTGGATTCTCTTGTGTACCCTATAGGGTGCAGGAATCCCAGTTTGGAGACCACTGCTCTACAGACAAAAGCTGTCAGGTCTGATATCCATTGCCCCGTACCTGGCCAAAAGGATGCTTCTGTTCTGATTTACACAGGGTATGAGGTATGTCCCCTTTCCAAAGGACAGGAGCCTCCAGCATCCATTTAACCAGTTTTATGTATGTGAATGGCTGCAAGCAAATGGTGCTCATAGCTGAACAGGACTTAAAGAGCTATTTCAAGACTAGCACCTAAAGAGTAATAAACTCTTTGGATCTCACAGAGCAAACAGGACATGTTTTGAGGGACAAAAAGATGTAGAGTGTGTGTCCGCCTGTTTATGAGGTATTTATGCATTGCAACTGTTTCGTGCAACTGTTTTTTAATGGTATTTGGGGGAATGCTTCAAATTGAAATTTAATGGGGAAGTGCTTTTAGAAACAAAAGAATGAGATGAAATTAAATAAAAATAGATACTGAGAAGGAAAAAGAGAACAGGAATGGGATGAGGACAGGCAAACATGAGAGAAAAGAAAGAACGAAAAGAGGAAAAGAAGAAAAATGTTATGCCAGCACTTTAGAACGGAAACCAGTGCTGCTTTATGAAAGCAGATGTTCACAATAACTCTGAAAATCACATGGCAGAAATATACAGATATTTTCTCCAATGCTAATGCTGTCTTTTAAAATATTTTTTGCAACACTGCATGAGAACCATACCTTTCCGAATTTTAAAATAGCATTTTTATATAATAAAATCTTCAGCTCCTAAACTTGAAAAAATTAATATTTAACCATAATTTATCTAATTATACTGTATTGTTAACTTCATAATACCAGGGTAATATCAAGGTATTACCAAGATAATAATATAATATAATTGGAACCAAAGATATGCTTTCTGATAAGCTACTGAGACACTCTTAGTATCTGACTTCCTCAAAATCAGAAATGACTGATTAAGTTCATTTAAGAAGTCCCTGCCACTCTTCCCATCTTTTGTCACACAGAAAGAACTTTCCACAGAAAATGTCTCCCTGGCGTCAAATTCTAAGTGACCCACAAAAATCGTAGGCGGATTTTTTAGTCAGGGGTTTGAGCATTCAAGGTGAAAGACCTTCTCAGCCCTACTTCAGCTCAGCCTAATTCTCATGTTAACATTTATACACTGACTCCTGCAAGCCCCACATCTACAACTAGCTGTGAGGCACCTGCTACCATCAGCCACGGCGTCGCATGGGGAACCATTTTGGTCCAGCCACATAAGACTAGGTGAACAGTTAGAACTCGTATGAAACGTAACGCCACTCCCATTTCAGGTTTTAACAGTCTTAAGGCTTTTCGACTACAAACCTAAGGCTACTCAAGCAGCCCTTCACCTTCTAGGAATAACTCCAGTTTATCAGCCTTTGCCTGAAGCTTTTTGGATCCCAGCTTTGAAAGCAGCTTGAAGGCCGCAGCGAGCACCAAATCCTAATCCAAATCTTAGCCTAGCCAATAGCCTCTGCATTGCCTAGATCACAGCATAGTTGTTTGGCTCGTAACCCAAATCTGACATTTATGCAGTGTTAAGTGATCCCTTTATACAGAGGCATAAAGGATTGCCATCTGGGCCCTATTATCACCAGTCTTACATTAGCCTTGGGACACCCTTCCAGACCCAGCACTATTCATAGTTAATCATTCCCCTTGGGCCCCAAATTTAGATCAAAAGTTAAATTTAGCCAGCTTCTTATTTACCCCAGCAGCTGCTTCTGTCTCTACCTAGTTTGTTAGCCTTCTTTATGACAAACCTTAATCTCAAACCTAGTCTCAATTTTAGTCATAGGACCAATAATGACTCGAAGCCCTAGACCCACTAACCATGTGGCAGGTCTTATCACAGAGTAAGGTCGCCATCTCCACTCAGCCTTACACCTGGCTTCTTGCAAGGCCAAATCCGAAACCAAATATTAATCATAGTCTCAGGCATCCAATGGCTGCTGCACGACAGAAATCCAAATGTAGTTACCCCTAAACCAGAATCAAGTGGTCCTTTGTTTACTAAGCTGTAACTGAGGTTTGCAGGTCACCTATTAGCCCAATTCCAAATCCCAGACTTTGCCTAGTGATCCCTGCCATCCCCCAAACTATTCTAAGTGTTACATCCCCTGCAAAGCTCAGAGCTAATCTTATCTAACTAGATCATTCCTGTTCAGTCCTAAATACAACCCTATTTCTAGCACCCTCTTGAGACTTGGACCAGTGCTGCTGCCATGCCAGACTGCAACCTAGCCCAGCAGTCCCTACCGCTGTCAGAAGTAGTTACAACCCTTTGGCCAACAATAGACCATGCACGCCCTACGCCAAACTGCAGTTCTAACTTCAGAGGTGGAGCATACCTGTTCCACAGCCTCTCCTTCAGAGATGGAGGCAGCTTCAACATTCATACATTGAGGTGTGGATTTGGGCTGTCGTTACACTGTTTGTGGCACAAGCCCCTAGGTCTGTTGACCTAACATGATGCTCCTCCTGAGCACACTGCGTGGATGTGCAGTACGTTCTCAGCAGCCTGTGTCACTCCTCAAGTGGAACCAGAAGGCCTCTTACCCTTTTGTTTTTAAAACATGTGGCCATCTTATTCCAGATACTTCCCAAATTTGCAGAAGCTGTGCGTTGCTGCTGAAATTCAGACTTTCAAAGGAATGAAAAAAATGGTTATAAGAGTTGCAAAAATTTTGAAAACATGATCTGAACATAAGGAGTCACTTCTCTGAAGTCTGCACAAAGCTTAAAACAATGATAGTTTAAGGCTAGGAATAGGCTTAAAAAGTAATTTTAAATATTGCACTAATCAATGCGTGTTAGCTGAAGGAATGTAAACACCACTGGGGGATGTGTGTAAACTTGCTGTGGCAGTTTACAGGGTCACTGGCCCTTGCTGTTTCCCTTCCTCTTCTGGCCAAGGTCAGAGTCCCCCAAGCAGGCTGAGCAGAAGCTGTCATGTGGCTGCACATCCATGCGGCTCCAGCTCACTTTGTCATCTTTCAAAGGCCTGAATTCAACTCCCTTGGAGGCCAGCAGGTCACATTAAACCTCAGGTTTTATGGAGGAAAGCAAGCCATAAACCTGAACAGAGAACTGTCCATTACAGGAACTTCATAGGCAAGTCTTACATTCATTTATATAGTAGGTTAGTGGGAGTTTAGCCAAATTATTTAAGATCATACAGACCAACCCAGAGCAATTTTTTTTGGTATATGATTGGGTGAATCACATGTGAAGCTAAAAAGGAAAACAGCGTTAAGTGACAGACAAAATTCTTGACCTCCTGGATTCTTCTTAAGGGCAAAAGCTGCAAATGAGCTATAGACTGCAGTGGCAATGGAAAATTCCACTGAGTGCTTTTCTGGCAACTGGCCGTTCTATGAATGCTTAATGATATATTTAAAGTTTAAAAAAACCCCTGTTCTTACATTTAGCCCAGTTTTTCTTTCACTAATTTAGACTTTGCTTGTCCACAATCCAAAGCAAGCAGTTTTGGAACTAGAAAAGGCCTGTGCTGTTCCACATTGTTTTTCACCAATAATCTCGTCATTTTCAACTAATAACATGTATTTAATTCACTTTTAAATATTAACATTAGTGCCAGAGAATGCAAGTTCAGTACACAAAGGCCTGTCTGAATAAGTACAAAATTTCTGAGTGGGTATGAGCTATGGTTATTTTGCTTCATATAAATGAATTTTGCTGCAGGTATACCCTGTTGGTAGAGATTATATCCTCTACTGGAAGTTAAATCAGCTTGTCAGCAAATTTGGGTGTCCTGATTTTACATTAATTACACAAATATTTAGCAAGTGTATTCTTGCTTTCCACTGAACTCCTTTTGTTTGAATGCTTTTTATGAAAGCTTTGCTATCTAAAATGGCTTGGGGAATGTATGGTATTACAGCGCTCTTCTTAATGAAAAAATAGATCAGAGAATCTAAAGGAAGAACTGAAACTCCGTGTTTTAAATTCTAATCCCACCTTTGACACTCTCCCATGGAGACAAAACAAAAACGGTCTTACAAAGTTGACTGGTGCTCCATGGACAAATCTGTGGCAGGAGAATGAAGGGTTTCTGCACACTTCTTTAGCCTGTGTTCTCTGAGCTACTGATCTTCAGATCCCGGTCACAACTGCACCTTCCTCCTTGAAACCATGTCGGGAATGATTCACAGATGCAGACAGAATTTGAATACCAAAGTACTGCCATGCTGGCACAGCATCACCACAGGGAAAACAAAAAGGGTTTGGTTGCCTGATGGTCTGAAGAAAAATTGCTCTGAAGATGTGAAATAAAAAAGGATTTATGAATAGAAGAAAAAGAACATGCTTCTCTAAAATAAGGACAGTGTTTGAATCCAGAAATAATTCAGTGCAATGACAGGAATCTTGCTCTCACTGAATGTCAGGCCACTTTTGTCCTAGAATGAACTTGAAAATCTGACCTTGGACACTTGTTTTGGAAATGTAAATCTCTGATTTCTAGATCTGAGTTTTGACAGCAGGAAGACATGCACTGCAACTGTTGGGATGATTCCTACTAATTTTTTGAACGAGCTTCAGTGTATTGCCGGTGGAATACCACTTGCACGATATATATTCTCTCCTCCTTCTCTGCCAAGACAATCTGGTAGGCTACCGTCTTCATCTTTGACATGCTGTAATTTTGTATGGTCAGTGAAGAGCTTGCTGTTAAATTTGCCTCAGATGACAACTGTCTTAAAACTGTCACCACCATTCAGTTTTTACTTTGGGTTCCCTTTCAGACGGTTTTTGTTTTTTTGCTTACACTGCCAGCCCTGTAAGCTCAGTCTGCTGCCTAAGCTGGGTTCTTACTGGGTCTACAACACTACTAGTGAGGAAGACTCCATAGCTCAGGCTTTGTTACCACCTCTGTAAACTGGGGAAATAAGATAGGATGCTTGGTTTCCCCTTTGGTCTCCACCTGCTCTAGGAGTAAAAAGCTGGGAAAGGTCATTTTACCTGCAAAAGTAAGCAGGTGGGCTCTTACAGAAGACAGGAAAGTAAAACCTTGAACAAATGATTGGTTACTCGTTTCACATTTTCCTTTTTTTGGAACTTGTAATTCTGTTTTCAATCTGTTAATTTCAGTAAGCGCAACAAAATAAAAGCAGAAGGCTGCTGGAAACACTGATTGCTCTGAAGAAACAGAGTAGAGTTAGTAAAGATAAATGTGCTCTACTGAACAAAAGGAGTAAGGGCTACCTGGTGGCTACAATCAACACATGAACTAAGGTAAATAGCGGCACATTTTAAGTTCTACCACCCTATAGGAATTTCAGGATTTTTTCCGTATGGACACGAAATAAAAAATAATAAAGTTTTCTGTAAAGCCATGGGCTTTGAAATGAGGTATTATAATGCCTTGTAAACCAGGGACTCATGGTTACCATGATAGTAGTGGTGTAAGAACCAGGATATTGGAATGAATTAGTGGCCAGGTGTCGGAGTGGGATTGGACCCGGAGTAACGATGAAATCTCAATATGAGTATGGTCGTTCTCGTTTATTGAATATTTTCACAGAGTATATATAGGCTTACAGCAAAAGCATGCATAGGCAACAACATTATAATTGGTTCAGCTCCCGTGTTGACACGCAACGTCCCGCAACTAGATTGGCTAAGGCCCTCTGTCCACACGCCTTTTGTTTTACTCTTCTCCCGGCTTATCTTGTCCGGAATTCCATTCTGCTTAGCACTTTTCTTCCTCCCTTTTTGGGCAGCCAAGGGGGGACCAAGGACGTTGCACACAGGCCTCCATCCTTTGTTCAAACCCTGGGTTGCTCATCGGAATTAAGTTATGCCCTTTTTCATTCAGGAATGTCTCCACAGCCAGGTATCCATAAATGTTATACTGTTTCTCTGTATTCAGTGAAAGTCAAACCCATAAATTATCATCAGAAAGCTTCACACTACAGTAACTGAAAAGCCAAAGGCCACCGCATGATTGACTGCTACGAATATCCCCTGAACAGTCAGTTTCACATTTAGTCTTTTACTGAAATTAAAAATGAAGAATAATGGAAGTAACACTTTGACAAAACATGCTGATCTGCTACAGTATTATAATTTTTCTTCATTTTTACACAATTATAACAGTCAAAAGGTCAGGCTACAAAATGCCAAGAACATCCCCATGGCAGATCTGTTAATCCTGGGAATGCACAACATGGACTGCATGGGCAGTCATAAAATTTTAAAGAGCTACAGTAAATCTCTCTACAAATACTGCCTTCATTTTTACAGTAAAGCAGTTAAGTGAAATAGAAACAGGTCACTCATCTCCAGTGAGCAACCCATTTAGGCCACAGTAGTACACCTTATTTTAATCCCTCTCTCCTGATGCCTTTTGCCTTCCCAGTGGTATTTCTGAAAGAAAAAAACATGAGGGTTAAGAACTGATATTGTCGACCATTAACTAAGTTTTGTTCACATCAGTTTTGTCCATTGCTGGAGTAATTTAATTGTTTTCTTATCGAAACGCTTATCTGCAGTTTTCTGGCACAGATGCTTAACATGCCAGTTTGACATTGTTCAGAGGTCTCTTGCTAAAGCTCAACTCCGTCTCTTCTGCAGTTGATCAAAACCAATACTTATGTGCTAAGCAAGAAGGGTAGTTCCTATATGGCACGAAACAGAGAAATGAAAACTAAGAGAAATAATTTCATCATTTTCTCCCTGAATTATAACCACCAGAGATCCCATGTGCAAACTAACAATTACATTTACAAGCATAGGCAAAAGACTGAGTGATGTCTGTCCACTGCGAAAGTGCTTTTAAGCTCCACTCTCTTTTTGGTTAAACTTTCAAGAGTAAATCTTTATGAATGAAATTTCACAAAACTGTTGTCTGCTTTTACTTTTTACTTGTGTGAGAAGAAGGTTTCTTCTTGGCCTTTCATTGACTTCGCAGGTTGCTTGGGAGTTCCAGCTCCCTCCCCAGCATTAGTGTTATTTATTTATATAGGTACATGACAGAACTGAGACAAAGTGGCTCCCTTTTCCCTCACGTTTACAGTCTGTGCCACTTGTCCTACAGTCAGATCCATAAGAACTGTTTTTTGTACAGAAGTGCAATTCAAATTCTGTCAGCATGGCTGTGTGCTGATCTAAAAAACTAACCATTTTTGTGTCAGATTATACGCCCCGGGTGTGAATCAAAACCCAAAGTAAAGTAGTGCCCCAGAATTAGAATTTAATACTGTAAAGGACTCTCCCTGAGTGATCAAACTCAGTTTCCTCATAGCTACACACCATGGATAATAAAAAGTTACCAAAATGCAGAATGATATACAAATACCTGCTCTGACACCACCCTACACCACACACTCCTTTCTAGCTTTGCGTGTTCAACAGGAAGATGATGTTGGCAATTGGCACAGACGATGAGCTAGCTGCATGCAACAGCAGAGGTCTGCGTAGGCAAAAAACGCTCACCTGGTCTCACAATGCAGACCATACCCTGTGCTGCGGAGGGAGACAAGGCAGCGGCATGAGGTGCTAAGGTTGTGTGCGAGTCCAACCCATCAACTTCAGCGTTCAGAACGACTCACCACCACCACCGATGGCCACTCAGAGGGTTGCAGGAGAGGGAATGGCCTGTTGCAGTTCAGAGAAGATGAACCATATGGACTCCCATATACCTCCCACCCTGGGTATGTATCCTGTCCAACAGCAGAGAGAGGCTAGCAGAGGGCAGACCTATACCCACCTCCCTTTCACAGCATTGCTTTGCTCTGGAAAGCAGACAGTGATGTGCAGACCTGGTGTGGAGATGTGACAGGGGTATAGCAAGAGTATTTGGAAAGCAAACTGTCTACTACCTGAGGAAACATGACAGTGTCACTGCATTTTTAAGCAGGCATTCAATTCCTTAGGCTTAGTGAAAAAAATAGACTTCAGCTCACGAATCACAATAGAAATTTTACTGACTGAAGAATATGAACATGAAAGTTCAGTAAGTCCAAATAATCATCTTGTTCAGCCTTAGCTCCTTCTGTTGGATGGCCACTTAGTCCTCAGGAGACAAGGAGTACGGAGTATCCTTCTTCTCTGTCCAAGTCTAAAATCCACAGTTCTTTTATCCAATTAGAGCAGAAAACTAGGCTAACCTTACTAATATCTTCTTCCATCCCTCAGAGTAGCTTCCCAGTCACTACCTCCTGTCCGCCACTCTGTTCCTGTGCTGACTGGAAAACATCAGCTCCATTCTTTACTTTTCTTCAAGTTCCCATCCCACTAAAACCAAGAGAAAGCTGTTAGAGGAAACACATCAGGAAAGCTCTTTATACCTTTTCCAGTGACTTTTTCTTCTTTGCACAGGGGAGAAAAGATCAGGCCTTCAAAAGCCCACTTCTGAATTCAAAGTGTTGGCCAGTTCTAGAGGAGACAGATCCTTTTTGTGCTAGAGAAACACAGGGGTGCTCATCAGAGAGGTGTGAACTCAAACACAGAAGGAAATCCATGAAATAGTATGGGGGACTTCGTAAAACCCAGTTTTGAATTTTGTCTGCAGACAGCAAGTTTTGAAATCTTTTTTTTTTTTGTAAAGTCCTTTATTTAATTTGCATCTATTATTGAAACTGCTTATTTTATAAAAAAATCCAATAAACAGAAAAGATAAAGGAAAGGAGGAAATGAAGAGGTTATCAAAGTGTCATTGTTTATAGAAAGAGAAAAGATAAAAAAGTGAATATATATTACAGCAGTAAAGCACCAGCAAACGCTTCCGTTTTGAATTATTATGACAAGCATTTATTTTGTGGATATTTCTGTGTTATGGTGGACTTGGGTGATCCCATGCTAAACTAATGGTACAATGTTAAGCTCTCAAGATGGAATAGTCATTATTTGCTAAGATAACATGAGAGCAACAGAACAAATTCACCACAGATGTAAGCAGACATTCAGAGTTGGAAACCTCAGTTTTCCAAAGCTGTGCCTTACTATATCAGGACTTAATTTCAACTCAGCCAAGTGATTGTAACCCTTGCTGGAATAAATATGTAGAAACTTTGCATAAACTAAACCTCATCTTGAAGCTTTGCTGTCTTATCTTCTTACAATACCTGCAGTATAATAATACTGCTTTAGTGAAAAATAGATTTTATTTTAATATATTTGTTTATCATAACTCTTATAGCAAATAAATATTAGTTAAATACTGGCATTATATTCACACAGCATTTGTGCACCTTCTGTCCTCTTGGAAGGTAAACATCTAGAGACATCTGGAAAGGCAGTGTCTCTCCATTGTCTAGTCTCTGTATGACACTGCAATATAAACATTTAATAATAAATTAGAAGGTACAGAGTTGCCATGACAGCTATTGCCTATTTCCAGCAACTAGCATGGGAACTCTAGCTATTAATACGTACCCAGGAAAGAGTACTGCCTGTAGCTTTGTGCAGATTGTTATTCAAGTTAGCACTGAACTAAAGCATTACAAATGAAGGCAATTTGCTCTCTCAATGTAGTCTTTTAGAGTATGTTAGTTAGCTCATGATTAGTTAGCATGATCTTTACTGTATGGTTCTAATAGTTTAAAGCAATATTGTAAACCAGCTTGAGTTATTTTAGGATTTGTAAGTTTTAAGGTTTACTTGATTATATATACCATAAATATA